TCTTCCGTTTTTTTTCTTGTCTTTTTTTTTACTTCCAGGGCAAGCACCGAGACAACACTCCCTATGGGGAATATGGAGGCTGGTACAAGGCCTGCAAAGTCAACAGGTGAGTCACAGGACTATCTTCACACACACAAACACATGTTGTGTGTCCAAGCTTTAGGCTCACATTACATTGAATTGTGGTCATGTCCTGAGACTAATCCTCATCTGAATCATAATTATTATTTGCTTAACCGTGACCTACACTGTTACCTTTACCCAAATTTTGTGCCCATGTGCTTTTTAGAACTAATATTGAAGGATTTTGTGTTTTCAAACTCTTTTTTTGGCACTGTTCCTGTTCTGATAAAGCTCAAAAGCTTACTAATACTATTCAACAAAGCTCAAATATTGTCCTGTTAATGTGATTTTTTTGCTGTATCCATACTTGCTTAAATGAGTTTATAGATTCAGCATCAATTAGTATTTGATTTTCTTTCGACATCCCTAGTACAGGCTGCAGTTTTCTGTCCCCACAGTGTGATGAATGTCAGCCCACAGGGAGCTTAAAGGCTGTGTGTTCAGGAGGAGACCAAACAAATGTGACAAGTGTACACAAGAAAAACAGGTTTGGTCGTAGTAATAGGTGCGAAGCTGAGGCTGAGTTCCCATGTTGTATAAACACGGCAAAAACACTGGTACCACTGGTATTACAATGTTACAATACTTAAAATTTCAAACTCTATTTCAATACTAAGGAAAATGATACAGATTCTGAGACCATAATGATAATAAAAACACTCTTTCTTTAAGCAATAGAGTGTGATTGTCAGTTTTAAATAAGAGTACCATTAAATAAGTGTACCTCATATTACCGTGTGGTCTTCTGTTTAACCCCTCAGTCGTCCTGGTAGTTTCCATAGTGGTCCATGGATGTGTACTAGTCTATGTGGTCTTACACTTCTGCATACTTATACTTTTATACTTAGACTTGTACAGACACTTATACTTAAACAGCTCAAGACCATATTTCAAGGTTAATTTCTGTCCTTTGAATGTGACTTTTTAGTATCAAATATATTTTAGCTCAAATATTTTTTCTACTTTCGAACTAACGATCTATCTAGCTTAACTAACGATAAAAACATTCACATTTATACCTCACTGCACGAGGAGCGACTGTGACATTGGTATTCTTGGTCATACGCTTTGAAAGCTGCACGCGTAAGGACTCATGTTACCACTATAACTAATCATTTGGTTTGGAATTCTTGCAGCCTCCCTGCTCCATGTGCAGTCTGAGCGAGGCATTAATAATGTTATAATGCAAATCTTTGAAGGTCTGCATTATTCAGGCTTTTTAAACTATAGACTTGTATAGGCTAATAGCTTAGGTATTTGGGTAATATGTTGTATAAAATAGACTTATTTATAAAAAGAGTAGATGTGGGGAGGGTTTTTAATTTCTGTATTAAGTAGGGATGTAACTATATCCAATGCAATGTAACTATATCTCTCGGTACAGTATTTTCACATTATACATCTCACGGTATGGTATTTATTGCGATATTTTGTGGAGGCTAACAAAACTGTGAATATGCTACATTTTTCTCTTAATATGCCTTGACAAGACTTAATAAGATTTGTTCCTTCATGTAGTCTGCACTGAAATGAAGCAAAGGATTATGGTCTATATTGTTCACTCTGTTTTTTAGCTATTCCTGCACCATTAATTATTTATTTAAGCGAAGTGACTTATAATTCAATATATTGTGGTGGTCCATGATATTATTGTGAGAACTCTGATGATAAGATATCACGATATTTGTTGTTGTTACATCCCTAGTATTAAATTATTTAAGTTAAGTTTAAGTTATATGTCTCAATGTACACTGACTTCTTAATAAATATATTGAAAAAATATGGGTAAGTAAGTAGAAGCAACTCCATTGCTGTTTCTGTGTCTTATCTTGAAATAAATGTTATGTTTCCCAAAAATGGCTACATCGTTAGTTTTGACTTTCAGTATTCATGCCATTATTAGCACACTAATAAGTTTGTGTGTTGATTCCAGCCCCACAGTGAACACCACCCTGAGGAACTTGGGGGCCCTCTATCGCAGACAGGGCAAACTGGAGGCAGCTGAGACTCTGGAGGAGTGCGCCGTCCGGTCCCGTAAACAGGTCCGTGCTATTTTAAACTGATCTACCTGCATGATTATAAACCCTGAAGTGTGTTTTTACTATTCCCCAATGTTTTAAATGTATATCCCTCGGTCTGAAGTGTCAATCTCATGTTATTTTTCCCTCTCTTTACAATGCATGGGATCCAGAGCAGCACAGTAAGTGGTTCGTCTCTTTGAATCTAACTCTGGGATTCTCAACTGGTGGATTAGGGCACAGGCATATTTGCTTAGAGATTTTGAACTTAATAGAAGTATACAGTATTGTGCAAAGGTAAAAATCAACATAGCTTACATTTAAAATACATTTAAAATAAACCTCTCATCTCAAATCTTTCATGTAAGTGTTACATCAAAGTTTTTAATATTTTTTGTAAGTTTTATCTCAAAGTTCAAAAAAGTATTGACTCTTCCTTGTGTTAGTGGGAAATCTGTCTGTGAATAACTATCATGAGCACCCAGCGATGACCCAGCAGATCTTGAGCCCAGATTGTGGTCAGAAGCTGAAGCATTAGGTTTTGTAAAACACAAAACTGAAGAACATTTTTACTCCTAAAACTCTTGCACAATAATGTAGTTTAAATTTTATTAGTTAATATTGTGTACCGTATTTTCCGGGCTATTAGACGGGCTCTTAAGCCTCTAACCCCATCAAAAAACGACCGTGCACCCCGCAATCCAGAGCGCCCTATACACAAATCTACTCGGGTGTCCCAGCACGACTTCAGTACAACTACAAAGCCGCACCACCCACACGCAAACACGCATGGAGCAGACGCCGACCGCGCAGCGAAACACACCCGCACCCACACTCATCACTCCACGCTGACGAGGAACGGACCAGAGGAACGAACCGAAAACGCGAGTACAATGTTCCACTCTGAGCCACAACTGAACAACTGAGTCACTGCGAACACGCCAACAATCCAGCGGTTGCCAAACAAAGTCCGACTGACCCATCGAACTGTTGTGTTTCGTTTAAAGTCCAGTGCGGTTTATTTGTGAAAAAAGTTTGAAAATAGACCATTTAATGGCAGTGCATCTCATAATCCAGAGCGCCTAATAGCCCGTAAAATATGGTACATGCAAGGCAAAGCTGGTGTTAACTTCTGTCCAAACAAAATGATAGACTTAAAGGTGATCTATGTAACTTTTCTGGTCCTTTACCTGCTTGTCTCCATGGAGATAGTATCCCTAGAATGTTGCACTGTATGGCATTAGAGACATAGATGTATTTTTGAGCAACAAAGACATCTATAATTGATTAAATGTACATTGAATGCCATACTGTGTAACTTTCCAAGCAAACCAATAAAATCTCCATGGACGCATGCATTTGGCACAGTCCCCACCGGAAAAGTTACGTAGTGCACCTTTAACCCATTGACACCAGATGCTGCGCAGCGCAGCGCTGAGTCCCCTGTCCGGATTGTCTGGTGATTAGCGTAACTGGTAAAGGCGGGGCCACACCTGGAAGCATGGGGGGCGTGTCCTCCTCTCGCTTCCTTTCACTCCCATAGAGAGACGCAAAACTGCCAGAGCTGTATTGTCGCGTTAAACCTTCTTTATCGTGGCGTATTATTTCTCTATTGAAAAATAATCCAAATGTATCCCGCACATGTTCCCATCAAGACCTGGTTTGAAGTAACAAACGTTGCGCTTTACTGCAGCGCATGAACGCGCTCAACCACTTGATCTGTTCGCTGTTCCAGACGCTCCTATAACAGGTGCCATATCGCTATGTCATGTAACAAATGAACATGGTCAAACACAAATGTTGTCCGTGTCTTCACTGTCATTGTCACTGTCAGCATTTTTGTGTTGCAGTAAAGCGCAACGTTTGTTACTTCAAACCAGGTCTTGATGGGAACATGTGCGGGATACATTTGGATTATTTTTCAATGGAGAAATAATACACCACGATAAAGAAGGTTTAACGCGACAGTACAGCTCTGACAGTTTTGCGTCTTTCTATGGGAGTGAATGGAAGCGAAAGGAGGACACGCCCCCCCACGCTTCCAGGTGTGGCCCCGCCTTTACCAGTTACGCTGATCGCCAGACAATCCGGACAGGGGACTCAGCGCTACGCAGCATCCGGCGTCAATGGGTTAAAAACATACTATATGACGACCCCAGTTGAGAATATCTTAACATAGTGCCTCTGTAATTTCCACTTCTTCACCCTCATTTCACGGCTTCTTGTCTTTTCTTTTCACTTTTTTTCTAAGTGGGAGCAATTTCATGAAGGTTTTTTTACAAGCAGCAAACTAATACCCGTTTAAAAAGACTAATAGAAATAATACAAATTGAACTAACTGAGGTGGGCTGACAATCAAGGGTGTCAACATGGTTAAAATCCAATTCATTATCACTATTGTCACTGCCACCAACAGGAAAAGAGAATACTGCAGGGGCTTAAGAAGGTAAATATACTGTTGTTTTAAGCTGCTCATTGCTCCTAGTAAAAATGTTAAATCATTATTAGCTGATACTTAGACTGAATTAGTGACTTGATTTTACCAATTTACTCTACCAGTCAAAAGTTTTTTTTTATTTTTGTTTCTTTCTTTCCAAGATTAAAGATTAAAACTGAATGAAAACTTCTTAACTAAAAATAACGCCTTTAAAAAATAACTACGATACATCTTGACCCCCAAAAATTCTTCCATCATAGAATATTTATTGTGACATGCCTGATTCTTAATAAACTATTCATTATGATTCAAGCCCAAATCTTTTTCTGTAGTTTTCTGCTTGTTCATCAACATTGACTTGAGAATATTTACTTTGACATAAACAGAATTTTATTATGTTTGCTTGTGCCAATGTCAAGGTCATTTTGAAATTAAACCTTGTGAGTTAACAAAGAAACATGAAACAAAATATTGATATAATCGTATTTCATTTAACAGTGCACTCATCGTCATCGCCGCCTTCAGCTCTTTTTACCTTTTTACTTTTTGCTCTTTTGATTTCTGAGCCCTGTGTCTTGTGTGTTTGTTCAGGGCCTGGACCCGAGCCGTGTGGTGGAGATCCTGAGGGATTCGGAGGGCGAGAGGCGGAGGAGCCGTGACAGTCTGACCAGCGTTAAGTATGAGAGCGGCTCTGAGACCGGAGAGGAAGTGAGTATGGGCGTCGAGTGGAACGGGGTGAGTACAAATCCACTACTGAGTCAAACTAAAATCATAAGAATACACAGAGAATCACTCAAAGGACAAGGGAGTGTTTACATGAGAGAGCGAGCGCCGACTGGTACAAACACTTTTAAAGGTGCAGTATGTAACTTTTCTGATTAAAGCTGCACCACCTACTTATTATTTTTATATTTATATACTGTATTTTACCCGGATTGAGATAAAAATCTGGTTTTCTTTGAAGGGTAACTGCTATTATTGAACTATGAAATCTTTTATAAACTCAAACCCAAACTGACTATTAGTTGAAATTATTTTGCTTGCTTTTTGATTGAAAAAAATTACTCTATTAATTTTGCCAGAGTATCCAACAAACCCAGTAGCACTGATTACAAACTATAAGATTCCTTAGACATTTTCTGGACCTACACCAGTATGAATTGATGAACCCATTACACTGTATGCTGATTTTGTTATAAAGGTTTGCATAATACATTTGTCTCTGAACAGAAATACAAGTATATCTCCAGCTAGATTTGAGTTGTATCCTTATATTTTTAAATACAAGCTCCTCTCCTAAAGATCCTCTCCAGTCATATTGATGGATTATTTGTACCAGTCGACCTTTTGTCTCTTCTCTCACTCTGGTCCTTTCTGTGTCTCCTGTGACTCTCTGAAGCTGATTGAGTGTCTTGGCATGTGTTTATTTTGTTTTATTTTGACCCCAGTTTCATGTTTGCTGCCTGATGTTAATGTTGTGTTCTGTAATAATGATAATACCTTGTTGTGGTTGTAACGCTCCAGCTCAGATCTGGGCAGTAACTCAAAGGCACAAGCTCATATTACGGCAACTGGCAACATTTTTTTTCTCTATGTTACCCTGTAATTAGCCCAACTTATTATGAAACGTGAATACAAAACCCCAGCAGAAGACGTCAGGCCTGCATCTCTGACACTGTGAAAAAGTTAACAATTTATAACAAGCAAAAAATGTATATTGTATTCATAGACTGTATATATAAATGGACATAGCTCTCGAGTTATACGCCGTGTTTCAAATAGGAAGTTCGTGTGCGGCTCTTCCGGCTCCTTCTTACCCTGACTCCCATTGACTTACACCTGAATATTGTCGTTCCTCTCTCTGAAACTGCTGCTGTGAGCCCCATCATTTTGGTCCTAAAATAACCGTATTAATCTGCTCTACATGATCTTGGTGGGGGGTTTTTTTTTTCGCTATTTTGTCCATCAAAAAAATCCTATTCATAATATAAAGCCTGGCTCCAAATTGGCTCTTGTAACCATGAGCATCATGAGCTTCATTTGAGTGGCGCTGAAGTCCATTTTTTATGCAGTCTATGCTTGTATAGTGGTAAAGCTGATAAATAAAGTAAATTTGAGCACAAAAATGACTGGATATAGTGAGACACTGGATATAAGTGTACAGACAGTTTGAGGGTGACAGGTTAAGAATTGCGAAACACAAAAAGTCTTGCTTAATAAAGGTCCTTTAGCAAGCCATATACTTGTTTTATTGTGCATTAAGTAACTAACAAAAGCTGAAACTTTGTAGCTATAATGGTGAAACTAGGAACAGATAGAGCAAGATCTCCAGATAATAAACCTTAATGGTCCTCATCGTATTACTGTCTCCTAACAATGTCCACCCAGCTCTGTTACGTCCAGCACATTTGTCCCCGTCTCATTTCTGCCTCGTTTCGCCCTTAGCCCCAGCACAGCGCTCCCCATAGACTGTTCTCCTCTTTCTCTATTAAGGTCATAATATCGAAGAAGTGTCTTGGTGTGCAGCTACAGCTCTGTATGAAAAGCCCCCTGGACATGGTTACATAAGACGTAGTTAGAGTCAGGAAAGGGCTGGACCACTTTTGAGGTATTTCAGATATTTTGATCTTGTAGAGACACTTTTAAATAATGAAAATGGTGAGAATCAAGAACGTTTGCGTAGGTAAAAGACTAAATATGTGGACTGTACTGCATTCCTAACTGTGAGCGATGATCTGACTTGTAAATTGGCCTGGTGGCGTCATCCGTTTTTCTCAGTGGAGATAGAAAAATGTTATTCCAGACTGTGAAACATTCTCGTGAACCATGCACCTTTAAATAAAGTTGTGATTTTTATGAATTATTTTAGTTTCAGCCAGCGATGTTGCCGTGCCTAATACTGAGCTATGCCTTTTACTAATGTTACCGAACATGCATGTAGCGTGTTACAGCTCTAAATGTGTAAGCTAAACAGGCTGCGTTGTAACTCCTAACCTGCTTATGGATAACATATTAAACTGAGTGGTGAATGCTTTAACAGATGCCTTAAAACTGCTTACTCCAGCTATTTCACCAAGCATGTGCTGGCATGTGCATTTGACTGTGTTGGTGCTTCCTTGTGCTCTGTGTATTTTATGTTGTAAAATGTTTAAAACTATATATTTTTTTGAGTTTTCATCTTATGTTAATATCCATCCATCCACTCATTACTGAAGTTCATAACAGGGCTGTGTCTAAAATCTTCTGTTCTGTGGTAATATATACTAAGGTAGGTCTGGGCAATATGAGGGAAAAAGCATGATTTAAAAACAAATACAATGGCTTTCTATATTAATGTTCAGTAATATAGCAATGTACACTTTAATCATCGCTGTTTATCACACAAAATAGTCAAATGTCTTCCTACAAAGTTTGAACTCTTGATTAAAAACCAAACAAGCATATCATTGACGATTGGACTAAATCTCAATCTTGGTTCAAATTCATTAAATTGCCCAGCCCTACTAAGAGACCTGTCTTCACCTGAGAGAACTGTCATCATTTTGCCAAAGTCCAATGTTTTATTCATGCAGACAGCAGCTAATTTAAGGCTCACCTCATGAGTTTTGAGACGCACGAAAAGGAGACTGCAGTTTTGCTGAAAATGCCCTAAAAGGATTTGCAGTTTGCAATATAGAAAATGTTAGTAAAATGGCTGATACAGCATGTGCAAATGACAGAAATGCTCTCACATCAAGTTAACCTAAGCAAACGGTAATAATATTTTAAAGCAGAGATGTCAGACTCAGACCCAGGGGCCAAAATAATTATATTTGGCCTGCGAGATCATATCAAATATGTATTAGAACTGGCCCGCCGGCTATAATTAGGCTATAGAGACATTATTATAGAGAGACATTCTGGATTTAGTGTTTAAGCAAAACTATTCGTAAACATGTATTTTAATAAGAAAGGGTTTAATATTACATATCTTTACATATCTTAAAAGAAGAAAAAACATGCAGATTTTGACATTTTTCAATAAATATTTAGTTTGGCTCACGACTAGACTCAGGTTTTAATGTTGGCCTTCTGTGAATTTGAGTTTGACACCCCTGTTTTAAAGCCTTATCATCAATTTTTTCCCAACCTCAAGATCCCTATAGTTCCAACACTTGATTCTGGTGAAATAGTTAATTAATAATTCACATATTGAGCTTTTTTGTTTGATGCAGTGTCATAAAAAAAAAGTAAATTGCCACAACTAGCAGACAGTAGCCAGTAGAAAGAGACTAGTCAAGCAAAGCAGAGAAAATAAACATGCTTTTATGAAAAAAAACACAGATATGGGTATGTTTTTGATGTGACAATTTGACAATTCTGGACAGACTTAATGATTTAAAATGTAATTGTTACTCAAATATTCAAACCAGTTTTCTCACGATGTATTGACACTACTTGATTTTACACTAATTTTGCACTTATATTGTACACTGCCCCACGTCTCGCCACCACCCTCTCCTTGTTAATCTCATGCTTATGTTTAATATTGCATGCGTACGTTGTGCTCTGTGCTGTAGATGCTTTTTTTGTCGCATGCTCCGTCCTTTTCTTTAGTTTCTGGGTCACTAACCTCAAATCTGAACTCTTGTGATCGCTCCCTCGCCTTGACAACCAATCAGCCTTTTCAATCAGAGCTGCTCTTCACTCAGTGGATTGTACTCCTCCTCTGCACCTCTCATCTCACACTAGTAGATTAGCAGGGTTGGGATTTTATTGTAATGATTAGGTAAATGCAGATGATGTATTTTTAATCATTTAATCTATCTTTAAAGCTCCTACATTGTGTATTAGTCAAATTATTAAAACAGCTTGCATTGGAAATTGGTAAATGTAGTATGTATAGAAAACAATTATAAGTAATATTTTAATATATTTCTGCTTACAAAACACTGGTTGCCATGAAGGACGATGGATCCATACATGTTTTTTTTAACTGATCGAAACCGTTGCCGTTGACGTCTAAAAATAAAAACTCAAAATGCCTATAAACAAGAAGCTGAAACTTATGAATCAAACATAGAATTCTGACTTTTAGAAGGACTGAATCATGAACCATTTATAACACACATTATTAAAAAAGTCACTTTGGTATAACAGAGTATCTTTAGTAGTGCATTGCAAAGTTATCTGCATTTTAGTGCTGACTGCTGCAGATGTCCCTGTCTGCAGAGATGGGGAAAGAGCCAACATCGAGGGCGCTCTGTTTTAATGTGGAGAAAAGGAAAAGCTGCTGTGTCACTGCAGCACCACCCACCTGCTCCAACACCACCCACCTGCTCCCAATGCAGAGACACCGGCTCGGCTCACACCAAAACGCAGCGCTTATTTTAGAACTGTACATGTATAGCTGGATTAAGATGTAATAAATAAATGTAATTATCACAATTATTTAAATCACTTTTGAAAAGTTACTGAGCTTATTATGGGAGAGAAGAAGGTGCATTAGTGTGCCTAAAATAGAGAGAACAAACAGATGAAATGAAATACGTGGGTGTTGTGTCTCACTGTTGTAAACATTCTGTCCAGGTACAAAGGTACAATCTGCTGACAACTTTTCCAGCAGACTGCATATCCTCAGAAACATAATTTATGACAAAAGCGTGTTGTTATGCCATATGGTGACACAGCTTTGCAAGAATCACAAGCTTAAAGTAGTTTAGTCGAATCAGAATCCTCAAAAGTTTGAAGAGCAA